ATAATAATAATAATAATAATAATAATAATAATAATAATAAAGAAGTCAGAGAGATAAAAATTGCCATCGTTATTACTATTCTATCATTGCCATCGACATTGATCATCATCATAATCTTCATTATCAATCGGCCATTACTAAAAATCCATGGAAAAAAGAAATGTTTAGAACAGACAAAACCTCACCGTTATCTGGACATGTCCTTTTCTTGGTCGGAAGTGCGTGTTTACCGGATCAGAAGTGAGCCTTTTGCGGTTAAACTTCAGAATTGTCTTGCGTCCTACTTCTGATGCACTCGTGATATTCCACTCATGTACGGCGTTTGCGTAATCAGGATATTGTGATCTGTTCTGGCCACTTGTTAGATAATCCTGGGTGTATGAATGAAAGAGAGTTTAGCATTCAGTTTGTGTTATACTAAGTGAAAAATCTGAAAATGTTAAAAAGTGCAAAAGAGATTAAAAAGGAAAAACAGGGCCTATATAGGAGGAATAGAAAGAAAGAAATATGGAAGAAGAAATGAAATGAAAGGAAAACATTAAAGAAAAGAAAAGCAAAGAAAGGTAAAGAAACAAAGAGAAAAGAAATGAGAAGGAACGTAAAAAAGAAAGCAGAGAAAAAGGAAAGGGAAAAATAGAAAAACCAAAAAAAGCAATGACAATAAAAAAGAACAAAAAATAGGATTGGAATGGAATGCGAAATTAAAACTCAACAGATTTTCAAACAATTAAGCTAATCGTTTAGTTTAGTTTCGTTTTAAACAAGTTTAAACCAAGATAATACTACTCTGAACATTTTTTTTTAAAAATTTCGTTTTGGCTTGTCTGTGATGCAATAAGTTTTCTCGATTACCTTTGAAATTAATGTTTTAAATCAACAAATTAATGCATTTTCCATGTAAAGTTTCGTGCTTTTTTTCTTGGCATTATATCAGGCGCCTTTCTGCTTCACAATGAGTAATTGCCATATTTAAAAAAAAGTTTTTGGCGTGTCTTGTATTGCTGCAATGAGCATTTTTGAATATCAACACGAGTAAACTCGTAAAGTAAATTGTCACTGATGTTAAGCAATATTCAAAATGATATATAAAAAATTTAAAATATAGCTAAATTTTTCCGCGCTCTGGAAATGTTTCATGTTGGCTTGATAATAACACTGTAGTGTCTGATTGAGCGACATCATGCAGCTTCAAATAGAACTCAAAAGTAACAAAATGTATCGCCAAAACTACAAATACAGAAAAAGTAATTCAATTAAAACACAGAACTAAAAGTTTTAGTTTTGTAAAATACACAGCAATAACAGAGCGGTAACAGAATTTTATTCAAAGTTCGTATTCAAGTTTAAATTCAAATAGAAAAATTGAAGCTCTTACCAGGCCATATGATGAACCATTTGAAGCAACACCTGCCACTAAAACGTCGTAGGTATCCATGCCATTCCTCATCCAATCTTCACCATATTCTAACTGAGTTATACCAAACGCAATCCACCCCTTAGCTTCGACCTCAACTTTGAAATAAAATGTGTCTGTAGCGTTGTTAAATGTCCACCAAAGCTTGTACTTTCCCTCGTCCATGGTAGTATGGTTCGCATAGACCACATCGGCATTGGCAAAAGAAAGAAACGAAAAAACAATTGATGCAATGATTACTAAATTCATGGCGTATTTTGGCAGCAGTTCTATCTTGTTCGTTGTTAGATGTGTTTGGTTCCAATGGTCGTTAGGTTGTTTTGGTTTGGTAACAAGGCGTAATAATTTCTGTGACTCATGGGTCAGGATTTGTTTACGTCACGCTCGTCCTGTTGCGTCACGCGCCTTTCCTGTCTATTCGTGCAATCTACTGAATCACGACGAAGAAAAAAGTATAAAGGGTAAAGCAAAGTTCAATTTCATTTGTGCATTTGAAGACAAAAACATACGACCGCAAATCAAAAATACAAAAACAATTACATTTGGACATCCTGTTTATTCATGTAGTCTACTAAATCATGACGAAGAAAAAAGTATAAAGGTCAAAGCAAAGTTGTTACTTTGCAAACCAAAAAAAAAAAAGAACAAACAAAACATGCAGTCTACTGAATCATGACGAAGAAAAAAGGAAAAAAATATAAAGGTCAAAGCAAGGTTGTTACTGTGCAAACCAAAAAAAAAACAACAAAAAACAAACAAACAAACAAACAAAACAACAACAAATACATTTGGACATTGAGCGTGCACTTTGAGCTATAGCTACCAACTGAGTTGACTGCATTTCCCGAAAGTGATTATGGGTCAACTATTATTGGTTAGCATTTTCCTAGTAGGGACTGAGTACGATCTAGATTTCTCCTGGTAAATGAACTAGAATTCCACACGATCAATTTGAAAAATGAAAAAATCATATTTCATGTGTTCTCCGGTAGAATCATGGAAAAAGCTAATCAACATTATGATGTCGAATCCTCAATTCTGATTGGATGACCTTGAGTTGTTTTGAAAGTCCACTCAGCTGGTATAGATCGACTGGAAAAACTGAGTAATTTTTAATATATCTTTAAGAAAAACACGACAGCTTTTAGTTTTGCAAACATGTTTCGGTAGTCACCTTCTACGATTATCAGTAAGGTAATGACAATAAAAATGGTCGATGAGATCTAGAACAAAGGAAGTTATGAACTACGAGGAGAGTTTAAAACATACTTTGTGGTTTACCGTCAATGTCTAAAGTTTAAATTCTAGTGATCGTTACGTCACTAGCCAAGTCACGGCAAGTGCTAATTGATTTCGAACAAGAAGAAAGTTYGCGGATGTTTTGTTTTGAAAGTATTGCATGCGGATATAAAAGTTGCCAACACACAGGTAGACCAAGCTCACCGATGTTTAAAGCCCTTTTGCTGTCATTATACACTACCAGAATCTCCTGCGCACTTCGATGTGTCAGGTAACTCGTTCCCAGATCTAGAGCACCAATCAACTGACCAGAAAAAAAGCAGGCTCCTGAGACGTGATTGCGCACCGTTTAATTGCAGGAAAAATGTCAAATGTCACATTTTTCCAATCTCGTACACAGGGCCTGCGTTACTTCTGGCCTGCGACGAAGAAAGAGGACTCTATTAGAGCAAAATCCATTTTTAAACATAAWCCATTTTTGGCGCATGCGCAATTTTTGAGAAGTAAAATATAATGAAAATCATGCTTTAAAACAGAGTTCTGTGTTTACTTCCCTTCAAAATAAAAATTAGAAATCGGGAACATATATTTTTTGTTATCTTTGGCAAGTCTTTGAACGCATGCGCTCCTATACCGGAAGTCCTAGAAATCCTGGTCTCAAAAAAGGGATTATGCCAGAGCCCTCGTTCTTCGCCGCAGGCCAGAAGAAACGCAGGCTCTGTGTACGAGATTGAAAAAAAGTGAGAAAATATCTTTTGTGCGCAGAAGCTTGTTTGGAGCGAAAAACTGCGTTGTCTTGGTATACGCTCGGCATGATTTTTTGATTTATGAACATTCTTTACTCAGCTTTGGCTAAGTATATACTTTTTATTTGTTATTTTTCTCAGTCACCAGTTATGCAATTTGAGCACGTTTAACGTTTTTGAAATGTGGTTAATAGTGGTATTTTTTWAAATGCTGTATGTCGCTTGGTGCACACACACGCGTACATTTTGATATCAGGAGATAATAGTGAGCGTCCGCAATAGCAAGGGTTAATTACAGTCATTCCTTTTTAATCCTTTTTCGCCGGGGATTTTAATTTTTGTTTTTGATTTTGTCCACAACAGCGAGGTGTCCGCAATATTGGGGTGTTCGCAAGCCGAACGTTGACTGTACCAACACGACCCAGTTTTTTTTTCTTGCTTGGAATGGCTAATGGGGCGCAACGCTGGTAGATTGCGAGCAGTCCCTGTATTATATATCTCTTGTTCAGTGTTTGGTGTTTGTTTCGGTGAATTTGGTCGAGCGAGGATTAGTAACTAGCGTACTATTAAATATCCCCGGGGGGAGGGGGGTGGGGGAAAATGAAAGCAAAAAAGTATTTCCACTGCTGCAGCCGTGCACACATCTCTTTCTCTTGTTATCAAGTTCATCTGTATTAAAAATAATATTTTTTACGTGTTGCAAGTAACGCTTCAATATGAGCCAACTGTTTGACGTTATCCGTGTTTGTCCAGCACGTCAGTTGGTATATTACGTGCAACAGAGTCTCTAAAAAACTCAATTTAAATTGCAAAACCAACGAAAGACGATATGTTGTACTCGAGTGGTGATTGGGTTTGAGAAGTGCGTGTATGCATGCTGTATGTGCTCATCGGAACGTACCTTCTTATCTAGGGTAGTGGTGCTTAGGCGTGTCGACAAACATTGGAATAAATGGAGTGAGTAAAACTAGCAAGAATTACCCTGCGAGTAGAGTCTCCTTTAGAGGAGTTAAAAGGAGACTGGCCGCAGGGTAAGCAAGAATCAGAATGAGCTCACCAAAACCTGATTACGTGATTTACCGGGTATTAACACGTTTGCCCAATACATAAATTATCTTTCGTACCTACGGTGATAAAATTATCTACTACGACACATTTGATTCAACTAAAAAACACCGACGCAGTCCGAACTAGTTCCAAAACTAGTCGTCATCTATATATTATTAATACATTATAAATTTAATGGTTTTACTTAACCCTTTCTGATAAGGCGACTGATAGCTATTAAATTGCAAATGTCAGGCCCAATGTGGTCTACCGTAGTTTTTCAGTTTGATGTCAAAGAAAACTATTCGGCATAAAACTGCAATTTAGATATAGTTTCGATCAACAAAAGACCTAGTTCTTTGCAGACGTTGTTTGCATCTGTCCCTTCTCCCGTCTACAAACGGAGGATAGGAAACACCAAAAATAATTTATTTTTCATTCGCTGCAAATGCTGCTAATGTAACGGTGAAAGTTACCGGATACACCGAAAATGAAGAATTTTGCAATGGTATCAAACAACCTTGCTATATCAGATAGTCCTGTAAATGAGTGCACCTGGTGGTCCGGAAAATCTTGTAATGAACTCAACCAGCTTGTCCTAACAAGTTTTACATGTTATGACATTTAAAACATTAAACACAGAGATCCAAAGGGGRAAAAAAGGGAAATATAAGTTATTTTCTTCGCAGCATGACTTGTTAGTCGCACAGTCGACCGACGGCGACATGATACCCCGAAACGCATAGCTCTACACCGGATTGAAATACTTGCCCTGCGGACGCCATTATAATGTAATTATTCTACACAGGATTATTGATTCTCCATGTGGCGTGACGGGATGTCGTATATCTGAGAATTATGAAATATTGACCGTCCAAATACTTCTTATTGACCTGACTTTGGCTTCTGAACTAACCGACTGGTATCGGCCCGAACATATTTTTGTTTGTGTAGATCAGATTTTCATAACAAGGGCAATGATAATGTTAAAAAACTTCCTGTCATAGTTGTCCTTTCACCCTTCACCCTTTCAATCACATGGCGAGAATGGAAGTGTAAGGGACGGGCCATGAGATAATTGAGGGGGGGGGGAGGGGGACGGGTACGTTAATCCGCAAGAAATTGAGCGAGCGAGGGCTGCACTGTCAGAAAAGAAATTTCAGGCAAACACGAAAAATTCGTACAGGGGTTGTTTGATAAAAATAAAAATGAAATAAGTATCGTGCAACATGAATTCCAGCTGCATCCCCACCCCTCCCCCCATTCAATTACCTTATGGTCCATCCCGAAGGAGCGAAAATTGCCTTGGACAAATACCTAGTTTCATAATCTTAAACGTCCATGCAGTAGTAAGAATTGACTTTCGGAAGGCTTATAAGTGAAGGAAACTGAAAACAGAATCTCTTTGATTTTTTCCCTACCGTTGGAATCGCAATTGCCAGGCCCATGGGGATCTTGGACCGAAAATAATGACGGCTGTAGAGGACACTAATGCAGACCACATCGCCACTGTGTTCATGCATTAGGTCGTCATTTCATGGAAGAGAAAATAAATGGAGGTATATTATTTTGCCCGCATTCCCCCAGTCTTTGTAGCAATATTTCAAAGTAACATCATGTGACCCAAAAATAGCCCATTGATTGGCTGGTTTCCTCATGAATTATTAATGAGTATGAGAAATCCCATTATAGAATATCCCGCAAATCATATGCACATACTTTCACGACTTCTACTGTTGGGCATGTTGTAAAATATTGACTGGACTGGACTGGACTGGACTGGACTGGACTGAAAAAAATCTGTAAAACATGGACTGGACTGGAATGGACTGGACTGGACTCGAAATCTGTAAAACATGGACTGGACTGGAATCGAAATCTGTAAAACATGGACTGGACTCGAAATCTGTAAAACATGGACTGGACTCGAAATCTGTAAAACATGGACTCGAAATAATAAGCTTAAATAACCGGAAATGACTCCACGACTTCAGCTTATTATCTGTAAGCTTGATTGTACATTGGAAAAAATTGGCGCCCATACATTTGGAATATTTGCTTATTTCGGTCTTTTTCGAATTCCTCTCTTTCCAAAGCAATAGGTCGTCCTTAAAAGTAAAGTAATATAGCACAAGTAAACTGCGTGACACAACATCCTAAATGAACCGTAAATCTTCTGTTCTTTCGCTAACTACCGTACAGTAGTTAGCTTGTTTTCGAGGCCACGAAACCTAAGAAACCATAAGAGGCAAATGTATAGCCAACATATAGTATGTGCTTATAAAATCAGCAAAAATACGGTTCTAAATTTTAACAAATTCCTATGACTTATATACCAAAATGTCGAGGAAAGCCCGGGGTTTTCAAATCCACTTCTGTTTTTTTGACAGGTTCTGTTTTATTTCAAGGAGAGACGATTTTCTAGCTTGACCCCGGTTATGTCATGCATTTTCTCTTGTAAAACACATCCAATAGCGTACATTCAACTCAAAAAGTACGGTGGTTTTTTTCAATAGAATTCAATCTAAACCGTATATTACAGTCCGTGAATAGTTGAATTAACTGAATCCACTTCTGTTTTTTGCCTAGATAGTCATTGTTTTGAGAAATGATCCAAAAACCGTGTTTTTGAGACATCAGGGCTTCCAAGGGCTGAATCAATAGTAGATCAACAGTGGATCTGTTTTATATATCGATAAATGACAGCTGCGCTTGACATACCTCTGTTTATTCAGGGGCACTTATCTTTGTCTGATGAACCAGTTACTAAGAAATTGCGATTTTATACCCAAGGCCTYATAATAGATATGAATATAAAAAACCGGGCGAAACATCAGTAAAGTTTTCCTGTCTCCCACAGTAGTATTTATTACTGCATATGATTTTGAGATAACGCTGTTGATRCACGTACGTGATTGTCTCAGAATAACACCGGAAATTGTTGGAAATGTAATGATCGTTTCATATATAACAGCGGTAAATTGTGGTTGTGGTTTGATTGTTCACGACCGAGAGAAATTAAACATTTTTTGATGCCGGAATAAAAAATAAACTGATGAAGTTACGAATCAACATGTTTATRTATCAGAAAAAATCTGTTAACGTATATTTGGTCAGCTACGATTTCAAGCTCACACCCCCTCACGTGAGCCCATACAAATTATGTCTCAAAAACACGGTTTCTGGATCATTTACCGAAGATTGGTCCTTCCATGTTGATTTTAACCTCGATTATTACAAAATAAAGCATAAAAACATATATATTTTTATACTATAGTTTTATATAGTTTTTTTTGAATATACTCCTAGACTAATCAAATGAATAACTTAATAACAACTGAATGAAGTAAACCGGTTAGCGGAGAAATGGTCGCCCACCAGCAATCAACACAATCGAAATTACTTCAATTGCGCCAGTACGTGTTGTGGCGCAAGCCACGAGACAGGATGTCTTAACGAAATGTTTCATCCCTCGAGTGGCACCGGATATACGGTCAACGACCAATCACTGGAATAACATAACACAGGTCTCCGAGAACACACGTAGTCATATTTGCAGTCTAAACAATCAGGTGTTCCTGAAATAACCTGAAAAAAACCTGATCAGAAAATAAAAACATTATGAGAAAATTTTGTTATCACCAACAAAAAATATATCTGTCATGAAAGAAAATTATTTTTACATCGTCAGGGATTCAGTGTGAGAAAAGCGTCAAGCAATCTAATTATAAAAAAACAAAGGTATTGTATGACCGGTTTACCACACTGAACCGAGTTTGCCTAATGGTCGTGGGTCGTGGGTCGTGGGTACGAAGTCGTGGGTCGTGGGTACGAAGTCGTGGGTCGTGGGTACAAAGTCGTGGGTCGTGGGTACGAAGTCGTGGGTTCCAATTTTTTTCCAAATTCATCATTTATAAATTTAAATTTATCACTATACTTCCAAAACGAAATCGTGTGGCTTTGTTCCTATAAATTCGGTGTAATTGTGGGTTGTGCAAGGTAGTCTGTGTCTGATTTRCGTGACAGTGTTATAAAAATACACGAAAATTGGTGGCCTGGAAAACCTTTTAGCACTTTCTTACATTTCATTTATATTGGCCTTGCTGTTCAAACATAAATTTGGCGGAAAAAAAGAAAAAGAAAAAGAAAAAGAAAAAGAAAAAGAAAAAAATAAAAGAAAGAAAAAAAACAAAACAAAAAAAAAAAAACAACTAGTCTTCTACCTTGTCTCGCTTCAACGAGGAGTCTTTAATGGACTTTATCAAGATGTTACCC